ATTGACCTTGGGTGCAACTGTGTTTTTCTTAGTTTTTACAGGTGCGATAAGTTGGCTCATGACCGCACTAAACGCGCCCTTCTTGCCTTGTCTTGTTTGCTTTATTTTCAATGTATGCTTGCTGTAAATATGTTGTGTGGTGTTCTGCTGATTGAATGTGTAGTTAGGGGCAGGTTCAGGCTGCTGAGCAGGGTATGCTAGCATGCCTGAGCGTGCTAAGCAGACTCTGGTCGCGCTAAGCGCGCACCCCTGGGACCAACATGTTTTGTTTTTGTATTTTTGAAACTTGTCTGGCTGTTTGGTGTTGATATGGAGTTTCTAATGGTTTTTCTAGAATTTACTGACTGGTGGTTTAATCTATTCGTTGCTATTTTGGTATGGTTTTCCTTGATTGCAGATGGATCCTACAAAACATGCACGATTCAGCGCTGACCAAACCTCTTAGGAGAGGCAGCCCCCTGTAGAGTCTGATAACCACAGACTTTTAGAAGCAGAGCAACAGATGAGATATTTGGAGTTGACCCGTAAAAGTATCTGGGCAGAGCGTATTTTTAGAATCAATTCGCAAGGGGAATTCCAAGCCTGTCAGAAAATTATTGAAGGCCATGGATGGCAAAATCTCATAACCCCTCAAACATTGCTGAACTTCGAGATTGTGCGTGATTTTTACGCGAACGTCATTCCTACTGAAGGGAAAATGTATACTTTTAGATCTTTTATCAGAGGGAGAGATGTTTCATTTTAAAGGGATGCTATCAATGGATGTTTGGGTAATCTGTTGGTTTTGGCTGAAGGCGAGCAATGCTCGTATTATAGGAAGGTGGCTCGGAGAAATTGGAACTTGGAAAATGTTTGCTCGACTTTGGCACACCTGACGCGTGGTTTTGAGCTGAATGCGGCAGAGAGGCCAAAAATTCTGAAAAAGGGAGACATGACATGATGGTTCAGGTCCTCATGACTCTTGTCCTGCACAACATCAGGCCAAGAAGTCATTCCTCTTCCAGACTAGTCGACATTGCTTGCATGCTGTATTACATTTTGAAGGAGAGGCAGATTGATGTCGCGAGGATCATATTCGATGAGATCCACGATGTCGCTGCTAGTGGACACCGTTTGGGCACCAAGGTACCCGCTATTTTGATTTTTCTTGGTTTGATTATGGGTTGGTGTCAAAGGGCATGTGTCTCGATCTCGGGTGTGGTCCATAAAACCATAAAGGGGGTCGTGACTGATACTTGGATTAAGAGCCATTGCATGCCTAGAGTTGACCATAATAGCCAACCTTTAATGAGTGTGTTGCCTGCATGTACACATGGGATATGCACATGGCTCATTAGAGGGCTTTTTCATTTTTACACTCATTTATGAGAGCCTTACATTTGCAGGTGCATGAGCCGCAAGTGGAGCACCCTTTTCCTTCACAGGAGGACTTTGATGCGCATGTAGCTTGGCCTGGGGACATGCCTTTTCATTTTTAGAGGGGGCGGGTACCTCAAGGAGATCAGATTCCCCAGCCCGAGGGGGATATGGCCGATGAGGATGCATGTAATGCTGAGGATGTTGCTGAAGATGGCGTTGGAGATGATGATGATGATGACAATGGAGAGACTATCTAGGAAGATGAATATGAGTCCAGATCCAATTATTAGTTGATCATGGGTTATTTAGTTTTTGGTTACTTTTATATTTATGTTTGAACTCACGGGATTTTATGGTTATTTTAACTGTTGTTATTCTGGACTATTTTGTATAATCCTTAAAAGGATGAGGAACACATGGGCAACACCATTGTTTTGATTGTCGCAAATTTCGGTACTATGCTATTATGTTAGTTTTGAGTAGTTTTTGTTATTTTCTTAAAGTTATTTATGGTTATTTTGTGGAATTTGTGATTTTGTGTTGTCCTAAGTTGAAAACTTGAAAGAACTTGTGAACTAATGTCAATATTGATGAACCAATAGGCATTTGAGTGGTAATAATATGATCAAGTAAAGGTATCATGCTAGGTACATTTTTATCACTTCCTAAACTAAGCATGGAAATGAAACTTGTGATGAGTGTGAGAATTTGTAATCATTACTTCTTTTGAAATACTTGTTCATTTTTGAATCATTTAGAACATTGCCTTTATGAGGAAGCTTTCATGGTAGAATATATGCAGGATACCGACATTCATTGTTGACTCGTTCTTATTATGTTGAAATCATGCATGTGTGTTAATTTATGGAAAAGAAAGAAAAGGATCAGGGCAATTTTTGTGCATTTTGAGAAAAACCACTTGACCAAATAATACTGATCAATCTACCATGCGAGTGAGTGAGTATTTGATAATTGGAATGTGTAAATATTATGCATAAAAGAAAAAAAATTGGAATGTATCTTGGAATTTTGTTGTGAAATTTTTTGAACCCAATCTTAAGTGTGTGAAAGCATTCCTAATTATCATGTTTATTGTGTTCAAAGTTGGGGAGGAAAAGGTGGATTGAGGCATTATGAAAAAGAAAAAAAAACAAAAGAGAGAAAAATAATAAGGTGGGTTTGAATGATGAAAGATCTTGAAAGAAAGAAGCAAGTGGAAAGATAGGGATTTGGGCATGGATTGCCATTAAAAAAGCTCAAGGTTGTAATGATGCCTCTAAATAAATAAAATAAGAAGGTTAAGGTCTTGAAGTGTTTTGATATTGAGATTGGAATGCTCTCTAGAAATAGGTAATTTTGTTTCAATGACTTTGATGAATGACGTTTCCTTGTAACCAAGCCAAGTTACAACCCTAAAAGACCTTGTGATTCCTTATTTTTAACTCATTGATGCATGTTGTGTGTTGAATTCATAATTGGTTCTGGATGTCTGCATGATTTTTTGGTGAGTGATAACACCTTATTTTGTTTTCATGCATTGAAGAATGTATGCCTAGGTGTGATTCAATTATGAACTTGTATTGCTCAAGAAGTCTTGAAGCGTGTTTTTTGCACTTTGCTTTAGTTTCATCTTCATGAGGAGTTTGGAGTTTGAAAAGTTACCTTGTTGTTACTTTTACTTTTTGAACCATGAAAATTTTTATTATGCTTTTGAGTTGGTTCTAATTTCTTGTGCAGGTTCTCGAGTTCGTGTTCTAGTTTGAGACACTTTTGTTTGAGGACAAAGAAAATGATAAGTTGGGGAGAGTTGTTAAGGGCCAAATTGTGCATACTTTTGACTAGATTTTATGGCCCTTTCAATTGGGTTTCTTGATAGCTTAGTCTAATATCTAGTAATTTTAAGTGCATTTATATTAATTTCCTATTTTAGTGTAAATATCATGAATTATAATCATTTTGATGTTCCTTGACAGGTATTCTTGCTTATTTTTTATGATAGGAATAATTGGTGAAGGAAAGAAGGCCTGAAAAGCAAGTTTTGAAGTTTTCGTGACGGCATAGCGCGTTAAGCAAGCTTTTCAGCACGAGACCAACACGCCCCTGAAAAATCCAGTATCTAAAGTCTCAAACCGCGCTAAGTAGGACCCTACCACACTTAGCACGCTTCCTGGGAAATGAACTGTATTCTTCTGACTGCGCTTAGCGCGCCTCTGAGGGTGCTTAGTGCAGTGCCACTTACTGCACTAAGTGGCCTTGTCTATAAATATCTCACTTGGAAGATATTTTACAACACTTGTACTTTTTCACACTTTTCAGCATTTGAGAGAAAGAGAAAAGGTTTCCTAGGTAAAAAACCTTAGGAACTCAAGGAGAAGTGAGAATTAAATCTTTGGAGCATCAATCCTTGACTCTTCGACTTTGATGCTAGCAAAGCTTATTTTCTTACGTGTTGATCAAGCTACCATAGTGATGGGTAGCTAAACACTTTTGTGTCAATATTAGAGGTAGTTAATCTTGCTTTTATGTATTTCTTTTGATCTTTTGTATGTGAACAAGGTTATGATTAATGGATGATGAAGATATTTGCTTTTAATGATGTATTTATGGTTTGAATCACTCTAGACATAGATTTTCCAAGTAATAATCTAATTTCTTCATCTATTAACTAACAAACTCTAGACATATATTTGGAAGTTAATATTTTCTTTGTATCGATATTTATGTTTATTATTTCAGTTGCTATTTAGAGAAATCATTAAGCGATTATAACTATAATATTCACGGACCCGCTTTAGAAATGAACAGATTTGCGAGGATACGCGATTGTATTGATTGAAACTAAGTTCACATGTTTGATTAATCAGATACGTTTAAAAAGGATTAATGAAATCTAATCTTGACATGCTTTTCTCTGAAACAAAACATCTTTGCCCTAATTTACTCTTTGCAACAAACTTATGTTACAAAACAAATGATCTTTCGAAAACTCTTACTTAGAATGTTAAACTATTGAACGACTAACATCGACATATCTTGTATACAATCTCTGTAGATACAATAAAACACCCCCAAAAATACTTTTCAACAAGCATATGGTTAGGAGCATATTTGAGAAGGAAATCATTAAAGCTTTGAAAGGTATGGGTGACTTGAAAGCCCCAATTATTGATGGCTATGGAGCCAAATTTTTTAAAGCCAGCTGGCCAGTAATTAAATGTGATGTGATTGCTGCTGTTAAGGAGTTATTTGGCACATGTAGCATTTATAAAGCATTTAATAGTAATGTGATAACTTTGATTCCAAAAAGTGACAATGCTAGATAGATAAAGAACTTAGACCTATAGCTGGTTGCACTACTTTCTATAAGATTATTGCTAGGATATTGAGTGATATACTGAGAGGGTGGGGTCCTACAAAGTGTTATCAGTCATTGCCAAGTTGCTTTTGTGCCATGCCAAAACATCCACAACCATATTATGTTAGCTTATGAGTTACTCAAAGTTTATTCTAGGAAATTAGGTGGTACTCCTAGAACCATGATTCAAATTGACCTGCAGAAGGGTTATGACATGGTAAATTGGAAAGCATTGGAGTTCATTTTGAAGGAGATTAGGATCCCTTACCAAATTATCAACTGGATTATGGCAGGGGTCACTACTGTGTCTTATAAGTTCAACATAAATGGAGAATACTCTGAGTTTTTACAAGCCAAGAGAGGAATCAGGCAGGGGGACCCCATCTCCCTTTTTCTCTTTGTTATTCTTATGGAGTATATGCATAGATCATTAACTAAGATGCAGAAAAATGCTAATTTTAATCATCATGCCAAGTGTGAAAGTTTGAACCTCACAAACCTCACATTTGCAGATGATGCGCTATTATTTTGTAGGGGTGATTCTATCTCTGTGGGTTTAATGATGAAAGCTTTCAATATTTTTTCTGATTCTACAGATCTGGTGGTCAATTACAGTAAATGCAAGATCTTTTTTGGAGGTATTGATGACAATAGCAAGGAGAGTATTAAGACCATGTCTAGTTTTCAGGAGGGTTCTTCGCCCATCAAGTATCTGGGAGTCCCATTGTCCAGCAAAAAACTCAACATTAATCATTACATACCATTGGTGGATAGAATTATTGGGTGTGTGCATCATTAGTCTTCTAAGATTTTAAGCTATGTAGGTAGAATCCAATTGGTGAAAAGTGTTACTAGTGCTATTGCGCAATACTATATGCAGTGCTTCCCCATTCCTAAATTTGTGATCAAGAAGATTGATGTTATCTGCATAAACTTCATTTGGATATGTAAGAATGAGATCAGTAAGAAGAGTCTTGTAGCCTGGAAGAAAGTGTATAGATCCAAGAACCAAGGTGGGTTGTAGATCATTAATCTGGTTGTTTGGAATAAGGTTTTGTTACTGAAGTGTATGTGGAATCTTGGCAGGAAGTCAAATAACTCATGGCTAAAGTGGATTCACCAGTATTACGTAAAATATTTTGTTGTGATGGATTATGAGACTAAACCTCATAATTCTTGGATAATCAAAAGTATCATGAACCAGAGAGAGGGATTGGTTATTTTGCAGCAGGTTTGGGACAATACAATGCTCCAACAGAAGTTCAAAATCAAACCTTTCTATGCAGTGCTCAATAAAGACATTGGAAGAGTGGATTGGAGGAATCTCATCAAGTATAATAAAGCTAGGCCTAGAGTTTTCATGTGTCTTTGGCTCACTTGCCATGGAAATATTTCTACAAAAGACAGATTGAAGCGATTTGGTATGGTGCAAGATAGTTTATGTGGTCTGTGTAAGATGGAAGAAGAATCCCTAAATCGTTCTTTCTTCTATTGCAGCAAGACTAAGGGAATTTGGAGTTATATTCTCAAGTGGGTGAAAGTGAACCATGTCCCCCATAAGTGGGATGATAAGCTTAGGTGGATTATTAGTGTTACTAAAGGAAAAGGGAGGAGAGTTGCTCTCATGAAGATGATTGTGACTGAAACAATATATTGCATTTGGAGCTATAGGAATGATGTAGTCTTTGACAATACTGTGAATAATAATAGTCTAGTTACAAAGATCATTGATAGTGTGGTGTATAGGGGATGACAACATAGTAAAATTAGAATTCATCTTGTAAAGTTGATGATGTAAATAGTCTTGATTGGTTGGTTGGTTGGCTCAATCCACTTCTGCTCCCAGAACGACCTAATTGCCTAAGTCCAACCACTTTGGGAAAGAATTGACCTTTCTGCCCCTCCAACAGGGGAAGCTGACCAAGTTACCTTTGGTCACAAAACTTCTCCTCGTCAATCTCTGCCCGTCACGCACGGTTCCACCATCCAGAAACAGCCAAGGCGCCTATGCCCGTAACTACGCCCTTGCCCATAGCAACAGTTAGTTATGGGCATGTTTGTCCGTTACAACGACTAGTTATGGGAGTTACATATTCTTCGGTAAACGGTTATCTCGCTCCAAAAATAGGGACCAATGGCCAAGCGCTAGAGGCACTATAAAAACTCTCTCATTCCAGAGGATCAGGTGTCCAATATTCACCCTGATATACTCATATTCTGTACTTGCTCTCTCTCTCTCTCCCTCTCTCTCCCTCTCTTGCCTGATTCTTACTTTAGCATCAGAGTGCCTTGCAGGTACGCCCTCCTTCTCCTCTTTCACACCCAGCATCACAGATGATTGTCTTTGGACCACCTCAAATTTTGATCAACCGGTAAGATCAGTGGTGCCGTTTGTGGGAAACTTGTTATCCCCGTCTTTTCTCTTTCCATAGACACGAGATCAAAGCAATTCTTTAAAATCCTGATCATGGCCAGCCGTGACAACACTCTTGATGCTCACAAATCTGCTTTCCTCCTCGTCAGTAAGACTGACATAGACAGAGCCACCACCTCTTGTGGCGGTGTCGTCCTCCGACAAAGGGAAAGAGCCATAACTTCTCTATCCCCTATTCGTGCAGATCACAGCGAAGTCCCGCAGCACTTGCTAGTCCCAGTTCCGCCCAGCGCCGACCTATCCATGGCGGCCCTCCTCAAGGTTCTCAACAAGACCATCCTCCTAATCTTCAACCAGAACACGAGGATTTGAGCATTAGAAGAGTCTAGTCGTCTAAGATTCCCTACGCCGAGGAAGGAGTGTCAGAGACCACAGAGTCCCCCTCCCTGGCGTAAGAGGAATCATTAGACACCTTCGAAGCTAGAGACTCTGACCACCCGCAAGCACGACCACATCTCTCCTTGGAACCAACATTCCCCACAACCCAAGAGGACCAGAAGAGGCCACCAAGCAGAATCCCAACATTCGCCTCCGCCCAGATCCAAGAGCCGAGCATGAACCCCATCTCCCCGACGAGACCGCCATCCTACATATAGACGAAATGCATGTTCCCCGTCCTGGACCAGCAGTAGCAATGACAATGAACCTCGCGGGCTGTTGTCCCATGAGATTATGGTCATGCGCATGCCGAAGGGACTAGAGAAATCCCCCTCTCTGGGCATATACGATGGAACAATAGACCCCGAAGAGTACATCGAAAATATCAATGCGCTGCTCGATTACCGCAACGTCTAGGGTGCTATCAAATTCAGGTTATTCCCGACCACACTTAGGAAATGGGCGATGACCTGGTACAAAGGACTTCCTGGTGATTCCATCACTTAATGGAGACAACTAGGGAGGTTGTTCTCTATACACTTCACGGCCTCTCGCCGCCATCCAAAGACTGAAGCCTCTATTAAGGCCATTATTCAAGGGAGAGATGAACTCCTGTGAGCCTACATCAAAAGGTTCAATAAGGAGTTCGTCCAGGTTTCTACAATCGATGACATCAAAAAGTTTCTGCTCAAACGTGGGCTCCGTCCCCGCACCAAAATTGCTAAAGTCGTAGGCATCCGACCCCTAACAACACTAGACGTCTTCCTCCTCAAAGCACAAGCGTACATTCAGTATGAATAGAAGAAGATGCTAGCCCTGCCTGTGATTCCAGGCATATGGAGAGTGCCCGACCCTCCAGGTCTGACGAGCCCTTGACATCCCGCCGAAGAGATAAAAGACGAGAAGACCGTCCCTGTGAACCCCGAGACAACAAAGGACCCTCTATCGCTACTGCAAAAATCGGCGCCGGCTATGACAGAAGATTCGCCACCGTGCGTTATTTATCCCAACGGAGGGAAAGGAAACGCTCGAAGTAAACCCAACGCAAAATGGGAAAGGAATGGTCATCGCAACCAAATTCTGGATTCGGGAGTCGATTACGCAAGGGGAAGGTATTAGCACCCCTCACGTCCGCCGTACTTGACGGGATCCACGCTTGTTTTCTGGTACGGATTGTTATTATATCTACTCTAAAGGTTTGGGTTAAAAAGAAAAGAAAATGACTCGACAAAGTATCACACTTTATGCCTACGTATTCCCGTCGGGAACGAGAAATCAGAGTCAACGTAGTTCGCCTAACTACGGATGAAGGGGGGAAGGTTGCTCGCTAGGATATCGCATCCTATGCCTACGTACTTTCATACAGCACGAAAGATCAGAGCAAACGTAGTTCGGGCTACGGAGGACACAAGCTTGTCTGACTGTTTTTTATTACCTTCAAAAAGGGTTTTCCTGATTAAAGGTCCAAGAGGACAAAAATGACATTTGAAGTTTGTTTTCAGTTTTTTTTTATGAAAGAACTGTTTTTTAGTCTGTTTGCAACTTGTACTGCACTAAAGACTTGTGATCTGAGAGTGACTACGTCGCATGTCACCCTAAGGGTACCACACTAAGCAACCAGATTACTGAAGAGTGACCCTCCAGCAACCTTTTCTCAAATAGCTTAAGGCTCGTAGCGTACAACACGCGTTATCCTTATTACCGTGTTTTTGAATTATTTTGAGATGAGAAGAGAAAGAAGCTCTAAAAAGCCTAGGGTTGAAAGGGAATAAAACTGACCTAATTTTGTCATACATGGATAAGAATCCTAATGTCTGTCGTAATTCCCTCCTGCACAGAGGAAATCAGAGATCCTAGGGGATAAACAGAAAAGAAAACAAGCAAATACAGTAAAATGCATGCAATGCAGCAATACAAGTGAGGCAAGGGAGTCCCACTCAACCTCGAACCTGGGAAAACAACAGGCAAGGTGAATCAACATTCTCCTCAAACCTAGGGGGCAAGCTGCACAAGCCAACAAACAATACAGAGAAACAAAACCCAAAGTAGAGGAGGCAGCCCAAGCAGCAGCACCAAACTCCTACAGCAAACAGCACAAACAGCAGCTCTGACAACAACAGGTTGATTAACCAGCAAAAAGTTGACAGCAACAACCTTCATCTTCATGAATAACTCCTATCTTCAAGCTCCAATAAACCTTCAATCTTCAACAAGCACCAAGCTTCAACAAGCTTCAAACTTCAGCCAGTAAACAGCTTCAACAAGCTCCTAACTTCATCTTCAACAAGCAGCAAAACCCTAGCTTCAACAAGCAACCATCTTCAACAAGCACAAACTTCAGCCAGTAAACAGCTTCAACAAGCAACAAACTTTCTCTTTACCAAGCTTCAACAAGCACCTCCAAGGGAGAATCATTCAACAAGATCAGGTTATAATGTTAAGAAACTTAATGACAACCAAAGGAAATCACTAAGAACTTAACATTGCAAATGAAAGGTATCCTCAAAGTTCTACTCACTTGGGCATACCACTCATCCCTCCTAGGGTGAGATGGAGCTTCCCAAGGAGAACTTTATGTCATTGGATAGAATAGAGGCAAACAATGCACTCTATGTTTGAAGAAACAAGTAGAACTACTCTGATGCTCTTCCTAAAACCCTAGTTTCCCTAAGCTCCTGACAAGCATCCACAAGATGAGAGAATCTTCACATCTGTTGCACCCTAAAATTTGCCCAACCTTTTCTAACCTAGGTTTATGTTTCAATTGCATAGTCATTTGCATTGTCATCATGTACATAGTGCATTCATCTGCATTGCATAGCATAGGCAAGATATCTTAATCAGGGGATCAAGTGCCATTCTTGTTTCAAGAGGCATATTCAAGGGGTTTCATTCATATTCAAGACTACTCAGGTCATCATAGAAGAAATTGAGCTTTAAAGAGTTGACAGATCAATCATGGGGTTCTCTCATATCTTGAGGTTGTTTGGGGATCATCAGAGGGTGTATGAGCTATGATCCAAGAGAATGGAGTGTGTATGGATGCTATGAAAATCCTATATGATCATTTTGAAGAAGAACCAAGTCACTGGAATGATTGCAAGAGCCTCATTTGAAGTCAGTCAACTAGGGTTTTATCTAGGTCAACCCTAGGTCAAAGACTTATTTTGAAAGGCATCAAGGCTCATTTGAAGAATGTGGGATTCATTATTTGCTATATGGATATGGATATGGTGTTGTGCCAAAGAAAAATCAGAAGGAGTCAAGGAGAAGAGGAGTTACCAAATTAGGGTTTCAGTGTAAAATCCCCTGATTTGGGTCCAACTTCAAAGCAGTGTAACTCAAGATGCAAGCTTCATATGAATTTCTGGTCCACATGAAACTTGTAGAGTATCTTCATAGCTTTAATTTTAGTGATGTAAGTCATCAAGATGATTTATAGAACTCAAGTTATAGCTCTTGCAAGTTACAGGTCATCTGAGGACACTGAAATTTGTCTGTGAAAGTTGTCTGTCTTCCAAGCAACTTTTGACCTTTAAGGAGATTTCAAATGGATTTCTGGCCAACATGAGAGTTGTTCCTAATTGTCTTAGCTTTCTAGGAAGGTATGGTATGACTTCATATGATTTGTGGAACTCCACGTATGTCTTTGGCAAGCAAAGGGTATTTTGGTCATTTGAGAATTACAGGTCATTCTTAGCCTATGCCTAAAACTCATACAAGGAAGCTTCAAATGAAAAACTTCAAAACATCAAAGTTGCTCAAAATGTCATTTTAAGTCTAGAAAAGAGGTCATGGAAGTTTGGAAATGCATAGAACTCAGATTGACAAAAGTTGGTGAAAAATGACTTAAAAATGGCATATAACTTGAAAAAGTTGAAATGGAAATTTGGTTTGAGCAATCTATAAATCCAAAATAGGTCATCCAATATATCATTTTG